TCTTAACTCCTCTGGCGTTGCGGGTGTCCATGGGCGGCGCCGATTGCTTACCTTCAGGTGTATACATATAATAATAGGGCTAGTAAAAGTACTTACTGCATATATTGCAGATGAAATCTTTGATCCCGGAATGAGTCTTTTCATGTTGATTGAGATTTTGTTGTGTGAGGAACGATTTGCCGCATTGATTGCATTTGAACGGACGGGGTCGAACCTGGGAACATATGGATAAATACATTTTAACAATGACAGTTTTTGATATGGTTAAGAATATACACTGGACAGCAAATAAATCGAGCCACTCGCTACCTACCTAGACACTCTAATTCGATTTTCTCAAAAACTAAAAACCTACAATTATCAAAGTTGTACCTACAGAAAGTGCGTTTCATGCTGATTAAAATCAAAGGAAACTCATTATTATATTAGGTTTTAAGTTATTATTCTCCATTCAACTATCTCATATCTTTGTTGACAGTGTTATTTATTTCTTGGTTGTAATATTCGTTATTCTTTGATATTATGACTGACACATTATCTGCGAAAAGTATGCAAGGATAATTTGTATCTTCCATTTAGGTTTTTAATGTATAATAGGAATAGTAGAGGACCTAAAATACTTCCCTGAGAAACGCCTGTGTATTTTTTGTGACCCAAGTTAGATTTATATGCAAGTTTGCTTTGTTTAGTTTTATCTACGTTGATTTCTACAAATTGTGATCGTTTTGTAAGAAACTTTTTATCCGTCCATTTGCTTTGCCGCGTAGTCCATATTTTTCTCATATTTTCAGGATTAAGTCATGAGAAACAAAATCAAAGGCCTTAGACATATCAAAGAAAATAACAGTTGTTTGGAATTATGCAGTCAATATTTTTAGAAGCTTGGTTTATCAAATTAAATGCCGCCATGGTTGTCGATTAATTATTTTGATATCTATATTGTTCTTTTCTTAGGATTCGAAATCTTTCAATAAAAATGGTAAGCCTGGAATGCAATTTTTTTCGTAAATATTTGCGAGTATAAGTAGCAAAACAATATTGGTCTATAATTGTCAATATTTTTTTGATTCCCTTTCTTTTAATTGGTTTAATTACTGATATCTTGTTGTCCGGGAACACGCCTGTTGATAGTGACTAATTAATTAGATGTACGAGAGTTGGGATAGTAGCAGGGTCTATGAATTTTATGATTATAGTGGTCATACTTTTTGATCATAGCCTGTGGAATCTTTTAGGGATTTTATGTCTCATCTAATCTTTTAGGTTTAGAGTAGTATTTAAATCGTAGATTTCTTTTAGTTTTTATTGCGTTTTTAAGGCTCTTAGAAATCCATTTTGTATACTTTTGAGTGAGGTTAACTTTGATTTTAATTTTAGGAAAACATAGTATCAGAAGCACTGCTCTCTTACTGACCGCATGTGTCTTGAGATGTGCCTGGTGCGTGTACTTGGAGGCGAAGGCCTTGTGGCAGAGTGTGCAGCGGTAGGGCCGCGCCCCCGAGTGCACGTTGTGGTGCTCCGCCAGCAGGCTGCGGCTACTGAAGCACTTCCCGCACGTGCCGCAGCGGTGCCCGGCCCCCGGCCCGCGCCCCCACCGACCCCGCGACCCCGCCGTCCCTCCTACACCTCAACGCGCTGTGCACCTCAAGACGTGCCTTGCGAACTGCAAGGTACGCAAGGCATCTTCTTGCAAGAAATTCTGAACCCCATCGTTACTTGTGGCGAGTAATGGATCCTGTTTGACGATCATAGGTGCTCGGCAAGTTGGTAGGGCTCTGGTTTAGGATCCAAAAAATGCTATAAATGTTCTTTTTTCTTAGTGTTCTACCGTATGAAGCATCTACATCTACTATGTTACATTTATGAATGTAATACTTCTTATGAAACTATACACTACACTACGTATGAAACTTGAAATAGTATACCTATAATGAAGTGCTCTCTGAATAAATGACAGTCTGTATTCATGTACCTACAACATCTTTCGTTTCTTCCATCCTTACAGTGTGTAAAGCATCTCAGCTTTTTACCAAAAAAGATGGACATTCCTCCAGATAGGTATGTATGTACTGTGAGGATCTGAACACAACGATGGTGAAGCTCGCAAGTCTCCAACCAGCTTCGGTCAATCCTTCGGCTCATAATACTGCACATCAGACGGTCTCTAAGCTACAAGAGCTGGGGAGAAGTTCTCCACCGTACCTACTCACCAGATCTAGCGCCAACAGACTTTTACTTTCTGCGAAATTTTATTAATTTCTAGTCGGGAAAATAATTCAATACCTACCTGACAGACAATGAAAATGCCCTTGAAGAATGTGTTGCCTCCCGTCTAGCTGATTTCTTTATATACCATAAATGCATATTTGCCAACGCATTTATTGATGCCCATCAATAAATGCGTTGGCAAATATGCATTTATGGTGATTTGGTGGATATGGTGATTTGGTGGGTATGGTGATTTGGTGGATATGGTGATTTGGTGGATATGGTGATTTGGTAGATATGGTGATTCATGGTTGATTACTTTGATTAGGTATTAGAAAAAAAATACGCTTAATTTATTTCGTGAAAACTGCTTCTCATAAGTGAAAACAGACAGAGATATAATATGCATTTTTGTAAGTTTCACAATTATCGTTACTTTTTGAGCCCGCCATGAGCTAAATAAACCTGTTCGTCTAGTCAAAGACAAATATGTTGGAAAATGGAAAAATTGCCTCTTCATTATGAAATCCGACTAGAGAGACTTTTTGAATATTTCGAGCTAGGACAGAATTATGTATTTTATGAATACAAGAGTCCGTATTTACAATTTGGAACAAGCACCTAGCTTCACTGACGAACAAACTGACTGACTACTATTCTATTTTGACGTTTCAAAAGTACCTATTTATGGTTTAGTTGGAATAAATGATTTTGATTTGATTTACTTTTTGACTTTTGAATTTTACAATGAAATGCTAAGCGGTGAATACCGCCGCAAGTCCTAGAGCGGCCGGCCTTCCTAATTATATTATAAAAACGTGAAAGTTCGTGAGAATGTATCGATGTTTGATATTATTCCACGCAAAAGGGAAAGCTAGCGGGCCTTTAGAGGAAGCATGAAATAACCAAGTGCCACTAAAAACTGTTTTATTTCATATAAACATTATATGTTGCAATACATATCTTTGTTATAAAATATTTACTCCTAATAACAATGCAATCGCTATGCGATTCCCATAATATAATTTAAAACATTATTTCATTTTTCGCTACCTACTTACATTAACATATTGTCTATATACATACAAGACTAGGTGAATGCCACATGATCATGGGTTCGATTCCCGTTCGGGCAAAGCGATTATTAATTTACATCGGGCATGAAAATACGCCTCTTACTTATATAAACATTGAATTTTGGATATTTTTGCCAGATTCGGGCATCGAATCCATGATCGCATCATTTAGTTAACAGCAAAATTAGTCAAATTTAAAGTAAAACTATCAGTATAAGATTAATATTGATACATGATAGACAAAAATAATTGGGTGGTTTCCTAGGTCAAAAATAAATTAATTCGATGTTTCAATAAAATAAAATATTGAAAAATAACTATACTTTTATTCATCGATCGATCGATACACTGAATTTTAGATATTTTTTAGCTAGTTTTTAAGAAATAAGTAAACTATTTGACGCAAAAAAACTATGACGTCATAACTCAGTTCTCCATACAAATTTCATAGAAATGTACCGTTTTTGACATTTGGAAAAAAGTATTGAATTTAACTAGTTGGAAACTACCGCATTAATAATTACTTGATTTAAAAAACCTATGGTCTATCAGTTTAATTGGTTTACTAAAAGTAAACAATGTCGGTATGTCTTTTTCTATTAAAGAGCTCGTATGGAATACATACAAATATTATTTAAATTTAGTTTATAAGCTAGCATCCAGTTAGGTAAATACCTGATTGTAAAAATTTCTACATACAACGTTTAGATAAAAAAGCCATGCTAACATTGTTTACATTTAGTTAATGACCTAAACATATAGACCAGAATATAGGTCCATAATGGGTTTGGCTGCTACTGTATTTTTTGCTCAACAGATGGCGCTGTCTTTAATTCGCCCAATAGAGAATCAGCTATTGTTATACGATTTCTTCTGTCAACTAGTGTTTGGACCAATCCCTGGCTAGTCTAGCGCCATTGAAGAGCATAAGAACAGACCCATTGAATTGATTTTCCATCAGTTTCAATAATCTTACTGACAGACTTCTCCCACCCAGGGTGAGATGGTTTTTAGTCAGTAAGAGTCTGACACTCCCTCTTACCCCACCCCGGGCGGGGGAAGAGTTAAGATGATTTCGCCCCCTTAAAAGGTTCCAATTGATTTATAAATATAATAGACAGTATAGATAACTTATGCAAAAAAGTATTTTTTATGGTATAGGTCGGCAAACTAAAATAAAATCTACGCCGAATATGAGCAAGAAAGGCACATACAAGTGCGTTGCCAGGTTTTTGTGGTAGAGATTTGAGGATTGGGGATGGGGGGATGGGGAAGGATTGGGGCCTCTAGTAACATCAATCATAAGGCAAAACACAACGCTGTGGTTGTATCACGCTGGCGTACAGCGACGGCGTGGTAACACGCGTTTTTATTATTTTACTCACATTTTCATAATTTCTCACTGCTTTAAACTTTTCCTAGAGTTCCACGTATGTTTAAAAATTAAACTTAACTATGTCAGTTCGGCCGTTTTAGAGATTTAGACAGACTAACGCACAGATATTTTTGTCTATAATTTGGCTTATACTAGGGGACAACAGGATATTAAAATTAAATATCTATCAATTTAGTCCGTCAGTTAGATAGGACAAATACATAGACGAAATTATGTGATTATGTAGACGTAAAGACGTATGTAAAGATGGGCATTAAAATATAAATTAACAGTTCCCATTGACCGGTGTTTGGCAGAGTCCTTAGCCCGGCAGAAATGTTTCAGCGATTGATTGCCACCCATCCGTTGTTACCGTCAGGTAATTTGATTTGGATCAGTCGCACCATGCCTCCATTCTCATCATTAGCTACGATCTGAAATAGAAATATATGAACACGTTGAAGGACATTACCACCACTAAGTACATAATATAAAACAAAGTCGCTTTCTCTGTCCCTATATCCCTATGTATGCTTACATCTTTACGCAACAGATTTTGAGGCGGTTTTTTATAGATTGAGTGATTGAAGAGGAAGGTTTATGTGTATACTAGCATCCATTAAATAGTGAAGAAATTTAGTACCAGAACGGAAATATTGTCTATAATAAAGTGGTCCACACCCTCAAGTTTTGTAGAATAATAGAAACAAGCAGCGGGTGAAACCGCGCGACAGTAACTAGTATTACATGTTTGTACGGATAAAACTTACTTCAGTCTGTTCAGACAATTGGTCAGCATTGACAGCTTCTAAAATTGTCGCGTCGGCCCTCTCTCCTATGTTATCTGCAACAAATATAGATTTAAATAAGTCACTCACTTTTCACTTTTTTAAATTGAATTGTAATCAATTTTATAACAGAAAAAATTAAGAAAAATCAACCTTAAAATAATACAGTTAAGACTTACGTATAGTTAAAAGCGTAGACTCGTCTCCTTCTTGTATTAAATTCAATGTCGTTTTATCTGAAACATAATAAAATATTAAATCAAACAAATAAACCTTCATACCCGATTCTGAGTCTGAGATAAACACTTCATTACAACGGAGAGACTTTTGTGCAGTTAGAGAGACCAGAATAAGGATATCGCTGTATCACATCATCAGCCTAAAGTGTCTACTGCTGAGCAAAGGCCTCTTCTCATACGGAGAAGGTTTGAGCCTTAATCACCATCCTTGCTCAAGGCGGATTGGCGATTTCAAACTTAGAAATTATACAAGTCCAGGTTTCTCTACGATGTTTACTTTCACCGTATGTATGCCTGAATAGTCATAGCTAGTACATATAACTCGGAAAATGTCACATTGGTACTTGTCAGGGTTCGTTCCCTTACCCCATGCATGAGAAGCGCCTTAACCTCCGAGCCACCACGACGTTGGTATAAGCTATACTAGCACAGTACACGAGCCATAGTTCCAGACTCCGTCATATATTACTGACAACATTATAACTCACCACTATCCTGCAATATTAATTTCTTATCTTCAGTAATATAGAATTTGGCATCTTCTAAATTCACGTCAGCTTCTGATTTCACTGAAAATATAAAAAAAAAGGTTTTATAATACTAATTACGGATAGTAAAATAGGTAGTTAGTCATTATATTTTTAATGGGATAGGTCGGTAAACCTTGTTGCCTGATGGTAAGCAATCGGCGGCCTATCGAAGGGCCTCCGGTAAGCTCAGTCACACGGCGAACTACGACGTTGTTTCACGCCGTTATTCTGTGAGGATGAGAATACTGTAGGGTACCACCGCCGATTGCTTACCTTCAGTTAGTACGGACGCTCGTTAGCCGACCGATGCAATAACAAAAATACTCACCGGACTTGATGCTAGCCTCCAATTCAGTCTGTGCCTCGAATATCTGTAAAAATTGTCATAGCATTACGGATAAGTCAAAATAATTAATTTTGAAAAGTCAAGTAAAAAAAAGCCTTTATTTCAATTAGACCCTTTTTTGTAAAGGGAAAATCATCAAATGACTTCTCCCGCCCAGGGTCGGGAGGGGGTGTCAGAGTCTTACCTACTAACTAAAAAACGTTTTGACAAAGCCCAATCGTAATGTCAACTTCGTCAGTTTATATTATGTTACGTTTTTCTTCATTTTAGTGATTTTTATTTATTTTCACCAAGACATTCATTCAACTCCTAGGTATACCACGTTTACTGGTTCCTGTAAAGGCCAAACAAAATATTGCCATGCCAACTTACCGCATCAAATTTACTGGTTTTTGTGTCTAGGTCAGTTATATCCGTTGCATGCGAACTAGTTCCCTGGGAAAAGAAAAAGGACTTTAATTAAAAACTACAATCATACTTTAAAATCAAAATCATGTTTTGAAACAGTTACTCCATATTAGGTGTTTCTGTGGTGTCGTGGGTGCGTTTCCAAGCATACAATGTCACATACGCATCACACCCAGACCCGGAGCAACGATTTGTGGATGTCATCAAGAAATACGGTAGTATCCAACTAGTCAAATTCAATACTCTTTATGAAATTTGTATAAAACTCCAAATTAAATCGACATACCTAGTATTTTAGCGCACATATTTCTTAAAATTAGCTAAAAAATATCAAAAATGTTGTGTACTGACAGACCAATAAATAAAATTATAGTCATTTTTCAATATTTTTGACCTAGAAAACTACCCAATTGTTCCGTGCGGGAATCGAGCTACCGACACGTTGTACAGCAGCCTATAGTCAAGCCACTGGGCCAACAGTGCAGCCTGACCCTCAGTAACGTGTTAATATTTATAAATATACGAACATTTTCCGTAACTTTGATGACTCTAGGTTGATTGACAACGATGGACTCCGCCAGGTGACCCTGTGGAAATAAAAACAGATTATGTAATGATGTCTAAAACGACTAATGGCTAAAATTAATAAGTGATATGCATTGAAAGGTGGATCGATCTAGGTTCATAAGTATTGCAGATATTGTAGTACCAGCGACCCGCCCCGGCTTAATGGTAATACTAAATTTCCCCACTAGTTAAGGGATGTTATTATACATAATTATAAACCTTCCTCTTCAATCACACTTTCAATTAAAAACTGCATCAAATCTGTTGCGCAGTTTTAAAGATTTAAGCGTACATAGGTAATAGGGACAGAGAAAGTGACTTTTATACCATTTTTTATATTAAGTGCGGGAGAGTTATGCTTCCGACTTTTGACCGGAGTGATACCACGGCCTCACAGAAAACCGGCGTGAAACAATCACAACGTTGTGTTTCGCCGTGTAATTGAGGTTACCGGAGGCCTAATCCCCAAAAGGTCGGCAACGCAGTCGCAACTCGTACGTCGGTCCATGGGCGGCGCTGATTGCTTACCATCAGGTCGTTGCCGTCCTACGAGATAACAAAGTGCTATGTAGTATATGCAAGTTTTGTAAGGCTTACGCTGGTATTCATATGGGCGTAGAGCAGTTGTTTCCTCATGTACCCAGCCCCGCAGGCGACGCACTCGTAAGGTTTCTTGTCGCTGTGCACGAAGCGATGCGTGTTTCGGTTGTCGCGAGAGTTGAACGATTTGCCGCAAATCTGGGGAATTATTACAAGTCCAAGTCAAAATGGAATATTATTATAGTCTGTCAGTCTGTTCGTCAGTGAAGCTAGGTGCTCGGTCCGAACATCATCAGCCTTTAAGTGCTCACTGCTGAGCAAAGGCCTCTTCTCACACGGATAGAGTTTGAACTTTGTTTTACTCAAGGCGGATTAGCGACAAACTTTTAATAAGTAATTTGTAAGTCCAGGTTTCCTCACGATGTTTTCCTCCACCGTTTGTCAGTAGTGTCTAAATGAACAAAGAATCAACATATGACACGGAAAAAGTCATATTGGTGCTTGTCAGGTTTCAAACTTAGCTCCTTATGCGCGGGAAGCGGGCGCCTTAACCTTCGGGCCATCACGATATAATATTTATTTTATATGCCATTTATAGTTTTAGTTTTTTTACATCACACGTTGTGTTAGCAGAAGAAGGAATGAGGTAGAACTTAGTCAGTACGAATCTATTTTTGTGTGAAAAATCATCAAACTAAAACGCTTGCTGAGTGAAAAAACACAGTTTCAGCTCCTGATCTATGAATTAGTAGGTTATTTCGTTCCTTCTCTTGCTCTAGGCCGAGGCCGCGGTGTCTCAAGTCAGTAAGAGTCTGACACTCCCTCTCGCCCTATCCAGGGTCCCAGAAGTACTTTGTAGATCTTTCCTCCCCCTTAAGAAGCCCTATAACAGTATAGTTACCTCGCAGACGTAGGGCCTCTCCCCGGAGTGTATGCGGACATGTTTCTTGTAATGCTCGGGGTACACGAAGGACAGTTGGCACACGTTGCACTTCAGGGGACGCTCGCCCGTGTGCGTCGCCTTTATGTGGTACTCTAGTAACCTGGGACCAGATATCATCATCATCATCAGCTTCTAAATATTTCTTTATGCAGCAAACGATTCTTCTACAGAATTTCGTCTTGTTAGATATCACCACAAGAGTCCACTTGTTTTTCTATGAGATAGGTCTGCAAACGAGCTGACCGATTACCTGATGGTAAGCAATAGGCTCTACCCAATCCATACTAATATTATAAAGAGGTAAAATTTTTAAGTTTGTATGTAGGGGGTAATCCTTGGAACCGCTGGTCGGATTACCAAAATTCTTTCACTGATAGATAGCTACAATGTTCCTGAGTCCTATAGGCTATAAAACATCACGCTACGATTAAATGGAGCCGAGCAGCGGGTAAAACCGAGCGAGAATAGCTAGTGGTATTATAAGTAAAAAGGTGTAGATAGGTCACAAGCGCTCAGCAGTTGATACATTACAATGTAGCAGAGGGTATATCACACCCGCGTGTAGAGTGGCGGTGGTAAATTAAGTAAGTGAGTAAATACGCACCTCCTCCGCTTGAACTTCTTGGGACAGAGGGTACAGTGGTGCCTGGTGTCGTTGTAGTGCGTGGCGCGGCGGTGGGAGTGCAGGTTCGAGCGCTGAGTGAACCTCGCGCCGCACTCCTCGCACGAGAACGGACGCTCGCCTGCAACAAGGGGGGGGGGGGGTCCCTATATCTATAGTTCCGACAGGGACATCGCTTTCTCACTCAAAAACTACCCGACCCAATGAAATGAAAAATAGTTGGAGTTTTATCAACTAGGAACTCCAATCTCTTTTGTAGTTTAGAAGTAAAATCTTGTTTCCATACCAGTATGTATCCGCATATGGTCCCTGAGCTCTGCCCTGCGCGCGAAGGCCTTCCCACAGTCGGTGCAGACGAAGGCCTTGTTCCCCGAGTGGACCACGCCGTGCACTTCCAGGTTGTGCTGAGTACTGAATGCTTTGTCTGGAAGCGGAGGCAATATTTTTAATGTTTTGGATGGAGTGTGTTTTAAAGTCACGAATTCATAGAAAAACGCTGCAATTCATGACTAATCTCGTCTACAATGCCAGTCATCTTCTTTAATGTTAATGTGAATGCTATTTTATGACTTTTTATGACATACATATGTCGGCAAACAAGCAGACGGATTATCTAGTGGTAAGAAATCCGCCCATGGACAACCGCAACACCAAAGGAGTTACGAGTGCATTGCCGACGTTTTAGGGATAAAGTTTTCCGATATTTAAGGATTGGGAAGGGATGGGGGGAGGGGGAAAGGTATGGGTCTCCGGTAACCTCACTCACACGACGAAATACAGCGCTGTGGTTGTTTCACGCCAGTTTTCTGTAAGGCCGTGGTATCATTCCGGGCGAGCCGAGCCATTCGTGCCGCAGCATGGCTCGCCCACATTTCCCTCGGGTATGGTGAATACCAATGAAGCCTCACAGAAAATCGGCGTGAAACAACCACAGCGCTGTGTTTCGCCGTGTGAGTGAGGTTACCGGAGGTCCAGGCCTTCCCCTCCTCCAATCCCTTAAAGGAAGGCAACGCGTTCTTAACTCCTCTGGCGTTGCGGGTGTCCATGGGCGGCGCCGATTGCTTACCTTCAGGTGTATACATATAATAATAGGGCTAGTAAAAGTACTTACTGCATATATTGCAGATGAAATCTTTGATCCCGGAATGAGTCTTTTCATGTTGATTGAGATTTTGTTGTGTGAGGAACGATTTGCCGCATTGATTGCATTTGAACGGACGGGGTCGAACCTGGGAACATATGGATAAATACATTTTAACAATGACAGTTTTTGATATGGTTAAGAATATACACTGGACAGCAAATAAATCGAGCCACTCGCTACCTACCTAGACACTCTAATTCGATTTTCTCAAAAACTAAAAACCTACAATTATCAAAGTTGTACCTACAGAAAGTGCGTTTCATGCTGATTAAAATCAAAGGAAACTCATTATTATATTAGGTTTTAAGTTATTATTCTCCATTCAACTATCTCATATCTTTGTTGACAGTGTTATTTATTTCTTGGTTGTAATATTCGTTATTCTTTGATATTATGACTGACACATTATCTGCGAAAAGTATGCAAGGATAATTTGTATCTTCCATTTAGGTTTTTAATGTATAATAGGAATAGTAGAGGACCTAAAATACTTCCCTGAGAAACGCCTGTGTATTTTTTGTGACCCAAGTTAGATTTATATGCAAGTTTGCTTTGTTTAGTTTTATCTACGTTGATTTCTACAAATTGTGATCGTTTTGTAAGAAACTTTTTATCCGTCCATTTGCTTTGCCGCGTAGTCCATATTTTTCTCATATTTTCAGGATTAAGTCATGAGAAACAAAATCAAAGGCCTTAGACATATCAAAGAAAATAACAGTTGTTTGGAATTATGCAGTCAATATTTTTAGAAGCTTGGTTTATCAAATTAAATGCCGCCATGGTTGTCGATTAATTATTTTGATATCTATATTGTTCTTTTCTTAGGATTCGAAATCTTTCAATAAAAATGGTAAGCCTGGAATGCAATTTTTTTCGTAAATATTTGCGAGTATAAGTAGCAAAACAATATTGGTCTATAATTGTCAATATTTTTTTGATTCCCTTTCTTTTAATTGGTTTAATTACTGATATCTTGTTGTCCGGGAACACGCCTGTTGATAGTGACTAATTAATTAGATGTACGAGAGTTGGGATAGTAGCAGGGTCTATGAATTTTATGATTATAGTGGTCATACTTTTTGATCATAGCCTGTGGAATCTTTTAGGGATTTTATGTCTCATCTAATCTTTTAGGTTTAGAGTAGTATTTAAATCGTAGATTTCTTTTAGTTTTTATTGCGTTTTTAAGGCTCTTAGAAATCCATTTTGTATACTTTTGAGTGAGGTTAACTTTGATTTTAATTTTAGGAAAACATAGTATCAGAAGCACTGCTCTCTTACTGACCGCATGTGTCTTGAGATGTGCCTGGTGCGTGTACTTGGAGGCGAAGGCCTTGTGGCAGAGTGTGCAGCGGTAGGGCCGCGCCCCCGAGTGCACGTTGTGGTGCTCCGCCAGCAGGCTGCGGCTACTGAAGCACTTCCCGCACGTGCCGCAGCGGTGCCCGGCCCCCGGCCCGCGCCCCCACCGACCCCGCGACCCCGCCGTCCCTCCTACACCTCAACGCGCTGTGCACCTCAAGACGTGCCTTGCGAACTGCAAGGTACGCAAGGCATCTTCTTGCAAGAAATTCTGAACCCCATCGTTACTTGTGGCGAGTAATGGATCCTGTTTGACGATCATAGGTGCTCGGCAAGTTGGTAGGGCTCTGGTTTAGGATCCAAAAAATGCTATAAATGTTCTTTTTTCTTAGTGTTCTACCGTATGAAGCATCTACATCTACTATGTTACATTTATGAATGTAATACTTCTTATGAAACTATACACTACACTACGTATGAAACTTGAAATAGTATACCTATAATGAAGTGCTCTCTGAATAAATGACAGTCTGTATTCATGTACCTACAACATCTTTCGTTTCTTCCATCCTTACAGTGTGTAAAGCATCTCAGCTTTTTACCAAAAAAGATGGACATTCCTCCAGATAGGTATGTATGTACTGTGAGGATCTGAACACAACGATGGTGAAGCTCGCAAGTCTCCAACCAGCTTCGGTCAATCCTTCGGCTCATAATACTGCACATCAGACGGTCTCTAAGCTACAAGAGCTGGGGAGAAGTTCTCCACCGTACCTACTCACCAGATCTAGCGCCAACAGACTTTTACTTTCTGCGAAATTTTATTAATTTCTAGTCGGGAAAATAATTCAATACCTACCTGACAGACAATGAAAATGCCCTTGAAGAATGTGTTGCCTCCCGTCTAGCTGATTTCTTTATATACCATAAATGCATATTTGCCAACGCATTTATTGATGCCCATCAATAAATGCGTTGGCAAATATGCATTTATGGTGATTTGGTGGATATGGTGATTTGGTGGATATGGTGATTTGGTAGATATGGTGATTCATGGTTGATTACTTTGATTAGGTATTAGAAAAAAAATACGCTTAATTTATTTCGTGAAAACTGCTTCTCATAAGTGAAAACAGACAGAGATATAATATGCATTTTTGTAAGTTTCACAATTATCGTTACTTTTTGAGCCCGCCATGAGCTAAATAAACCTGTTCGTCTAGTCAAAGACAAATATGTTGGAAAATGGAAAAATTGCCTCTTCATTATGAAATCCGACTAGAGAGACTTTTTGAATATTTCGAGCTAGGACAGAATTATGTATTTTATGAATACAAGAGTCCGTATTTACAATTTGGAACAAGCACCTAGCTTCACTGACGAACAAACTGACTGACTACTATTCTATTTTGACGTTTCAAAAGTACCTATTTATGGTTTAGTTGGAATAAATGATTTTGATTTGATTTACTTTTTGACTTTTGAATTTTACAATGAAATGCTAAGCGGTGAATACCGCCGCAAGTCCTAGAGCGGCCGGCCTTCCTAATTATATTATAAAAACGTGAAAGTTCGTGAGAATGTATCGATGTTTGATATTATTCCACGCCAAAGGGAAAGCTAGCGGGCCTTTAGAGGAAGCATGAAATAACCAAGTGCCACTAAAAACTGTTTTATTTCATATAAACATTATATGTTGCAATACATATCTTTGTTATAAAATATTTACTCCTAATAACAATGCAATCGCTATGCGATTCCCATAATATAATTTAAAACATTATTTCATTTTTCGCTACCTACTTACATTAACATATTGTCTATATACATACAAGACTAGGTGAATGCCACATGATCATGGGTTCGATTCCCGTTCGGGCAAAGCGATTATTAATTTACATCGGGCATGAAAATACGCCTCTTACTTATATAAACATTGAATTTTGGATATTTTTGCCAGATTCGGGCATCGAATCCATGATCGCATCATTTAGTTAACAGCAAAATTAGTCAAATTTAAAGTAAAACTATCAGTATAAGATTAATATTGATACATGATAGACAAAAATAATTGGGTGGTTTCCTAGGTCAAAAATAAATTAATTCGATGTTTCAATAAAATAAAATATTGAAAAATAACTATACTTTTATTCATCGATCGATCGATACACTGAATTTTAGATATTTTTTAGCTAGTTTTTAAGAAATAAGTAAACTATTTGACGCAAAAAAACTATGACGTCATAACTCAGTTCTCCATACAAATTTCATAGAAATGTACCGTTTTTGACATTTGGAAAAAAGTATTGAATTTAACTAGTTGGAAACTACCGCATTAATAATTACTTGATTTAAAAAACCTATGGTCTATCAGTTTAATTGGTTTACTAAAAGTAAACAATGTCGGTATGTCTTTTTCTATTAAAGAGCTCGTATGGAATACATACAAATATTATTTAAATTTAGTTTATAAGCTAGCATCCAGTTAGGTAAATACCTGATTGTAAAAATTTCTACATACAACGTTTAGATAAAAAAGCCATGCTAACATTGTTTACATTTAGTTAATGACCTAAACATATAGACCAGAATATAGGTCCATAATGGGTTTGGCTGCTACTGTATTTTTTGCTCAACAGATGGCGCTGTCTTTAATTCGCCCAATAGAGAATCAGCTATTGTTATACGATTTCTTCTGTCAACTAGTGTTTGGACCAATCCCTGGCTAGTCTAGCGCCATTGAAGAGCATAAGAACAGACCCATTGAATTGATTTTCCATCAGTTTCAATAATCTTACTGACAGACTTCTCCCACCCAGGGTGAGATGGTTTTTAGTCAGTAAGAGTCTGACACTCCCTCTTACCCCACCCCGGGCGGGGGAAGAGTTAAGATGATTTCGCCCCCTTAAAAGGTTCCAATTGATTTATAAATATAATAGACAGTATAGATAACTTATGCAAAAAAGTATTTTTTATGGTATAGGTCGGCAAACTAAAATAAAATCTACGCCGAATATGAGCAAGAAAGGCACATACAAGTGCGTTGCCAGGTTTTTGTGGTAGGGATTTGAGGATTGGGGATGGGGGGGATG